AAAATCATCAAAGTGGATACAGAAGTATTTGGGAGTTATATTCAACGAAAGTCATTTTTTGTGGAGGAAAAAATCAGTTTTTTTATCGACCTTTTTTTTAGGTAATTGTTACCTTCCACAATCTTTTACATTTTGGAGGCCAAAATCTGCCTCCGTCTTCAGAAATGGATAAAAATTCAAATATATACGCAGTTATTTCTTTTTTGAGAGCTTATTTCTTTACTTCTTCGACAGATGTCAAAGAAGTTTTGAAATATGAAATATGAAACGTAAAAGATTGTGGAAGGTAACAATTACCCAAAAAAAAAGTAAATAAAAAAATTTGGAGTTATATTCTGCAAACGCAGGACCTGAAGGAAACCAAATCATTTAACTCTCAGAATGGAACAGTTGACCAATCTACTGATTTGAATTCCTTATTTGATGGATTTCGAAATGGAATTATCGCTCAAACTACAGAATTCCAAGAACGTGATTCAGGTAAGCATTTCTATCAAATTTTAATTGGATGTATCAGTAATTTTGATTTGTATTTAAGGTTGGACTTGTGTAAAAATCATGTTTCTGGAGGTGAACATCAATAAATACAGCCCGCTCAGTGGATGTTCATATTTGAAGCTACCTGAATGTATCGAGCGTAGAAAGGCCGTGGTTACTGTCCGTAATGAAGATTAGCATTGTTTTGCATTGGCTATCACTTCAGCACTACATCCTGCAATCGATAGAATGTCAGAAGTTTTATCATATCCACATTTCAATACTGTCATAAATGTTAGAGGTATGAATTTTCCGGTAAATTTGAAGGATATTGAGAAATTTGAGGACAATAATGATATTTCAGTTAATGTGTACGGTTTAGAAAGTAAACTCGAGAAGGGTAAAATAATGTATGCAATAATTGGACCATGTCAATTTGTTACTTATCAGAGATGATTTCGGTAATAGTCATTATTGTTCGATCAAAGATCTTTCAAGATTAGTTTCAAGGCAATTATCGGCTCATGAACATAAGAAATATTTTTGTGATGGATGTTTATTATATTTTTCAAATGAGCAATTACTATTACGTCATAAGATAAATTATTGTGATCACTCGAGTACTACAACACCATCAACCAATTTCAAAGCCAATAAATATGGGAAAATGGTGCCTGAAAATATACTAACGTTTGAAAACTTTGAGAAACAAATGAAGGAACGTTTTGTAGTATATGCCGATTTTGAATCAGTACTCAAACCGATTCAAACCACTAAGCCAAATCCTGAATACTCGTACTCGATCAAGACATTCAAACATGAGCCTTATTCATTTGCTTATTTGATTAAATGTTCATACAATGATGATTTGTCAAAATTTGTATCGTATAGGGGTGTGGATGCAGACCAAAAATTCTTCAGCAAAATTGAAGATGATTTGAAAAATATTTATGAAAATCATCTCAGGTTTCCTATTCCAATGGATGCACAAACTCCTGAGGAAGAGAAACAGTTTACTTCTGCTACAAATTGTGGCATTTGTTCTGAACAATCCAATGATAGTGGAGTTAAAGTGAGGGATCATTGTCATCTCACAGGAAAAAAAAGGTCCCTTGCTGCTCATTCATCATGTAATTTGAATTTTAAACCACCAAATTTCATTCCTATTATTTTTCACAGTCTGAGTGAATATGATTGTCACTTATTCATAAAGGAATTGTATTAAAACAAAGATAAAGTGGATGTCATCCCACAAACTAATGAAAAATATATATCTTTCACGAAACATCTCTATACACATTCCTATACGGATAAAGATGGTAGGGTGATGGAGAATTATCTGAAAATGATATTCATTGATAGTTTCAGATTCATGCCTAGTTTTTTGGAGAACTTAGGAGCGAAGTCAACATCTGATCAGTGTATCGAGATGCGCAAACATTTCCCACAAATTGCAAATTTCAATTTAATGAGAAAGAAAGGTGTATTTCCCTATAGTTTTGTTGATGACATCGACAAACTAAATCATCCAAGACTTCCAACCAAAAATCAATTTTATGATAAACTCAATTATGAACATATATCAGATAATGATAATGATTATGGAAGAGCTCAACTTGTTTGGAATTTGTTCGAATGTCAGAATTTGGGTGAATACTCTGATTTATATTTGAAGATAGATGTGTTACTATTATGTGACATTTTTGAAAACTTTAGAAATATATCTGTTGATGAATATAAATTGGATCCTGCACAATACTTCACCGCACCCGGATTATCATGGGATGCCATGTTGAAATATACTAATATTGAATTGGAATTACTAACTGGCATTGATATGGTTCACTTCTTTCAAAAGTTATTCGTGGTGGAATCAGTCAATGTAGTGAAAAGAAACATAAAGCAAACAATAAATTTTTACTGAATTATAATCCAAATGAATCATCTTCATTTATTTCATATTTGGATGCAACAAATCTATATGGTCACAGCAGCATGTCACAATCATTACCAACAGGTGAATTTTCATGGTTAACACCTCATGAAATTCTCAATCTTGATATAATGAATGTGGATGTTGATAGTCCTTATGGATATGTATTGGAAGAGGATATACATTATCTCCAAGAACTTCACGATGAACATTCCGATTTTCCATTCTCAGTTGAACGTTTGATACCTCCATATGCAAAATCGAAAGTTCCCAAATCAATTCCAAATTTAAACGACAAAAGAAAATATATTGTTCACTATAGAAACGTATAGCAAGCTGTCAATCATGGTTTGATAGTGATGAACATACATAGAGTATTGAGGTTCAAGCAATCATGTTGGATGAAGCCCTATATAGATTTGAATACTGAAATGTGTGATCGGTCTAATAACAAATCTGAAAAAGATTTCTACAAACTAATGAATAATGCAGTCTATGGAGAAACAATGGAAAACGTAGACAATAGAATTGATGTTAGACTCATTACACATTGGGAAAATATAAAAAGAACAATAGGTGCTAGTTGTCTCATATCGCGACCAAATTTTAAAAAATGCTCCATTTTTACAGAAAATTTTGTTGCCATTCAATTGGCTGGAGTAAAAGTTCATTATGATAAACCACTGTATTTGGGATTTTCCATTCTGAAATTATCTAAAACAGTTATGCATAATTTTTTCTATGGATGTATCAAACAACAGTTTGGAGAAGATGCGTCCTTACTCTACACTGATACCGACTTCCTTATTCTCGAAGTAAATACAGAAAATTTCTATGAATTTATCAAAAATAATATAAATAAGTTCGATACATCTAATTATAAAACAGGAAACCAATTCAATATTCCAGTGACAAAGTCAGTTCTGGGTAGTTTCAAGGATGAATTCCCAAATGATCCAATAATCAGCTTTTACGGTACAGGTGCTAAAGCGTATTATGTGAAATCTGTTGATGGTGAACTGAAGAAGGCCAAAAGCGTCAAACGATCTGTTATAAAGAATGAATTGACATGTGAAGACTATGAAAAAATCATTGAAGAGGGAGGTATGATATTCAGGAAGATGAACTCGTTCAGAAGCGTATTGCATGATATTTACACTGAATTGAAAAATAAAGTCGCATTATCATATCACGACGACAAAAGATTCATCATTCCGAATACCACTCGAACTCTTCCATGGGGTCATAGCGATATAGAGTTTTATCGAAGTGGTCCTAATGACAACATTCGTTGGGTGTCTGAAATCGTTCATTCTTTTTCTCAAGAGAGCGCCTTAGACCAACTAATTAATTTGTTGACTGTTGAGATGAATAACTGAATCATCATTCAAAGTGTTGTTGCTTTTTCCTTCAAACCGGAACATTCATTATTTGTGATTATTTCATTGTTATTTTTTTACATTGAAATATTACTTTTGCCAAGTGACTTTGATGAATATAAAAATGATAAAAAAATGTTATTGGTTTCACTTATATTTTTCCTAACCAATTACTACAAAGTATATAGCATAATGTGAATGAAAGAAATATCAGTTTGAAATTAATCATCGTAGGGTGCATAATGTCTAAAACGATAGATAAGTTTGGTAGAAAAAGAAAATTGGGTAGTAATATCATTCGAGGTTTTCCCGAAAATGGATTCAAATTAACATGACATGCAAAGAAAAATATTGAAAAATACAAGCGAACCAATTGACAAGAGTGATTGTGTAACTGTATCATATATTGAGGGGGAAATTAATGGAACAAAAGAGGTCATACTTCTAGCCCTACAAGCCGCAATACAATCCACAATTGGTAATGTTGCTCGCGATGCACGTCAAGCATTCGATGATAAAATTGCAGAGGTTCGGATAACTTTGACTGGTAAATATGATAATCTTAAAAGTGATGTAGAAATGAAAATGGCTGACATAACAGTGTCTACAATGGAAAAATATGACGCTTTGGAACAGAGAGTTGTAGTTTTGGAGAAAAAACATAAACTCAAGTCATCAGATGGACTGGGATATCCAGGACTGGACATTAATCCAAATGTTAGAATGATAGAAGCAAAACATACAGATGACGTATTAATTGAACGAACATGGTGAATGTATTCCGCGCGTGCTTTCACGCGTTATGTTAGGTTATGTTAGGTTAGGTTGGGTTATGACTATTTCATGGGGAAAGCAGACGGCAACCTTAGTCATGGACAGGTTCGTGGCGGAGCAGGTCGTGAGGTCAGGTACAATAAGGATTGGCTGGGTTGACTGTATGATAAGGAAAAGGGTGAACCCCACCAGGTGCTACAGATGCCTTAAATTTGGACATCTGAAACAGGATTGTAGAGGAAAGGAGGACAGAACCGATATCTGTCTAAAATGTGGAAAGGAAGGTCATAGAGCGCAGAGCTGCAAAAATGACCCGTTTTGCTTGACATGCAGATGTGAGGGACACAGGGCGGACCAAACAAAATGTCCAGTCTTCCGAACCTTGATTAAGGAAAGAAGAAGAAACGTATCAACAGCAAGTAGTCTATCGGCTAACAATGAGCCTCAAAATACTACAAATTAATGTTGGGAGATCTGAAAGCTCCCACGACCCCGCCCTTGCGACCGCCGAACAACGGGACGTACATTTGGTACTCTTGCAGGAACCAAATAAGGCATATGCGACGAGACAAAACCTCATCACCGACGACAACCAGGATACCGCCATATTTTGTAGAAATAAAGACGCAGGCGTGGAGTCCCATGATGTAGGAAGAGGGTATGCGGTAGTGCATTTCCGCAGCTTCGCCCTTTATAATTGTTACGTCTCACCAAACAGTACATTACGAGACTTCGAGAGGATAATTGATACCATCATGAACAGTATAAGAACTGACAAAAAAGCGGCAGTAGTGGTAGGAGATCTAAACGCAAAATCCTACTTGTGGGGTTATGCGGTAGAGGATGGAAGGGGAGAATATATAGCGGACTGGTTAAATGCCCTAGATATGGCCTTCGGGAACAGTGGAAACTCTCCCACCTTTGTTAGAGGAAACAGCGAATCCATTATGGACATAACTTTTGCAACATCCACTATATTTGAGAAATTAGTGAACTGGGAAGTATTGCAACAAGAGTCTTTGAGTCACCATCGATATATCTATTTTGAAATAGAGGACGAAAGGAGAGCACCTCGTAAAACAAGGCCATGCAAACCAAAAATCAATAAAGAAATCTTCAAGTCAGTCATCGAAATCCTGGAACCCAATATCGGGCACTCGAATACTAAGTTAATTCAGATTATAATGAAGGCGAAAAAGGCAAGTCAATAAGGCGCATCAGCTACGAGGTGGAAAGCACAACCCTACTGGTGGAATGAGACGATCGAGGAGCATAGGAAGAAATGTAACGAAAAAAGAAGGAAGATGACAAGAGACAGGAGAGGAATGAACCAAGAAAATTTAGTCGCAAGAGAAGTAGAACTAAGAACAATGAGAAGGGAGCTATACAAACTCATCAAAGATGCTAAAGTCAAGGCGTGGAATAAACTCTGCGAAGACCTGGAAAATGATATATGGGGACAAGGATACAAAATTACGATGAAAACCTTCAAAGCATACTCACCATACAACCTTACCTAAGAAAAGAGAACTGAAGTTATCAGAGGTTTATTTCCAGCAAGGATCAATAAAAAAAACCCATTTGGACTCAGGATTTGCCTGAGCGCTTTCCTAGGGAAGAACTAGTAAGAGCATGTGAGAATCTCCAATCAGGTAGGGCCCGTGGCCCAGATGGAATTTCGCCGGAAGAAATTAAAGAGGTCATTAAGGTCATCCTAGAAACGATGTTTCTACTCATAAATTTCCAACAGCTTGGAAAAAGGCGAGGATATCGTTGATTCCAAAAGGAACGGTCAACCTAGAAAACTCTAAATTCAGAACAATATGTCTTCTTGACACGGCAGGTAAAATATATGAATATTTTATTGAGGAACGCCTGGAGAAAGAACTACAGGAAAAACAAGGGCTGTCGGACGACCAGTATGGCTTCAGAAAGGAAAGATCGACGGTATCAGCTATAAAAAAAGTACTGGAACATGTGAGTACATTGTCCTTCGATTGGAAAGCACTGATCGCAATCGATATAAAAAATGCATTCAATACAACATCCTGGACTAATATAATAGAAAGACTACAAGAATTAGGGATAAATCAACATCTAGTTAAGATTATAGACTGTTACTTGGAAGATAGAGTACTTATTGACAAGAACTTCAATATGGAAATGACGCAGGGGGTACCTCAGGGATCAGTTCTAGGACCAACTTTGTGGAATGTATTATATGATGGAGTGTTAAGACTGGAAATACCTGGGAACTGCAAAACTATTGCATATGCAGATGACCTTGCCCTTATAGTTAGAGCAATAAACAAGGATCACCTAATGATCTGTGCCAACTCAGCTCTTGAAAATATTGAGACCTGGATCTTAGACAATGACCTAGAAATGGCCCCAGAGAAAACAGAAGCCGTTGTTATTACGGGAAAGAGGAACTAGGAAGGTATATTGTTTGAGGCGGGTGGTCATAGTATTAAACCGACCAAACATATAAAGTATCTCGGAGTGTGGATCGACGATAAGCTGATTTTTAATTGTCACATAAGAAAGACCATCGAGAAAGCTCAGAAAACAGTAACGGCACTAAATGCTATAATGAGCAATATTGGAGGACCGAGCTGTGGCTAAAGAAGGATGCTTAAAGGGGTGGTACAGTCAATAATGACCTACGCAGCGCCAGTATGGGGGAGAGTTATGGCCATACAACTGTATAAAAACAAGTTGATTGCTCTGCAAAGGAGGATGCTACTGAGGGTAGCTAGAGCGTATAAGACTACTTCAGCAGAAACTCTTGCCGTTATAGCAGGAGTGATGCCAATTGACTTGCTCATACAAGAGCGCACTGCCTTATATAGAGGTGAAGCCCTGGTGAACAATGTCAGAGAAGACACATTAGCAATGTGGCAAGGTAGATGGGAAGAGAACACAGCGGTAGCTCAATGGACGAAAAGATTGATACCAGACCTTATCCCATGGGTGTTGAGTAAGCATAGAAGAACAAGCTTCCATTTCTCCCAGTTTCTGTCGGGCCATGGAGCTTTTAGAAGTTATACGAATAAAATAGGGAAAACGGACGACAGCCGAGTGGATTATCCCGAACACACAGTCTTCTACTGTGCTAGATGGCAATGCATGAGAATGCGTACCTTCTCATCTCTAGGACAAGTCCTAACACCAGACAATGTGATAGAAAACATGCTGAAATCGGAAGCTGTATCGAAAGAAGTATTTACATTTATATGTGAGGTAATCAAATCAAAAGAAAAAAAAGAAAGGAAAATGCAAAATGACGAAAGATAAGAAGAAAAGCCGCTGACATAACTGGTGTTATATCCTTCTGGATGGTTCCGGCGTCAGACGGCGAAGATGAAAGGGGGGTTTTAGTGGGTTAGAGTCCCACACTACCCTGTTGCTTTCTAGCGCAGGGTGTGCATGAGCATTTCCCCAGTCAAAAAAAAAGGTTAGGTTGGGTTACGTTAGGTTAGGTTACATTAGGTGAGGTTAGGTTCCTACATACGTTAGGTTAGGATAGATTACGTTAGGTTAGGTTACATTATGTTAGGTTAGGTTCATACATACGTTAGGTTAGATCCATACATACGTTAGGTTAGAATAGATCAGGTTAGGTTAGGTAAGGTTCATGAGGTGGACTAGGTTAGGTTAGGACAGGACTGGACATCAATCCAAATGTTGAAATTATAGAGTAAATGCATTCCGCGCGCAAAGCGCGCGTTTATCCGGGGCCGAAGGCCCCGCGTGCTCGGGCCGGAGGCCCCGCCTGCTGGACATTAATCCAAATATTAGAATGATAGAGTGAATGCATTCCGCGCGCGAAGCGCGCGTTTATCCAGGGCCTATGGCCCCACCTGCCCGGGGCCGGAGGCCTCGCCTACCTGGGGGCGTGGCCTTAACGCCCCCCCCCGTCAGAGACCCCGCCCACTGTCCCGCCCACCACCCCACCCTTAACTCCCAACACTTGCGCATGCGTGCCTCCGCTACATTCCCACCATTCGCGCATCCATGTCTTCACCCCGAGGAGAGCGCTACTCAACATTCAGTACGACGATTCAAGTCAACGTTAGCAGTCCAGTCCACTCCAGCTCAGTCCAGTCCGGTGAAGAAGCAGAATTTTGAGTAAGTTAACAATATTGTATTATTTTACATTTTCAGAATGGCATCCAACACCAACACACAGGAAATCGATAATGCTGTGGCATCGATCATGCCGGTGGTCAAGGAGAAGGCAGCAACGTCAAGCGGTAGGGGGTGCTGTCTCAGCCCTGAGTTAATCCAAGCGGACAGGGTTGTGAAGAAGGTTATTCAACAACCTACAGCAACTTCGAGCGGTAAGGGCCGATCTCTCAGCCCTGACTTATTCGAGGAGGAGGACAGGGTTGTCAAGAAGGTATGTCGACAACGTGCAGCTAGGTCTAGTCGTATTAGTCATATAAGTACAGAGTTGCTTGCAATAAGACTAATCCTTATGCAGGTAGTTGGACGACCGCTCGTAAGAGCTTGAGACCCTCCACGCCGCCCGCAGCAGTAGACTAAAGCCCAGGGTGACTTGAACCCGTTGGCGGTGCCGCTTTCGCCGCTGCCAGCAACACCGGCGAATCCTGAAGTGTGGGTGCCACAAGTGCCAGTGCGACAGCTTATCGAAGAGGTTAGTGAAATGTTGAGCGGTTTCCTGCAGAGATGTAAGGAAGCAGAGCATGCTTCCCGATCAAGCGAGGCCGCGTTGTCTAGCTTTTTCCGCCGAAAGGCTGGAATTGCTAGCCAACGAAGTGATCTATTGAAACAATTGGCTGAACTAGATCGGGAGGAAACATCTCTGGAGAAAAGGTGTAAAGCAGAGACCTCTTCGAAAGAGAGGTCTGCCTATGATGTCGACCAATTTATTCCTCATATAATTCATTCAATACTGTACCTTCTTTGTAGTAGTTTACAATCAGCGAACCATAAGGGCCAGTTGTTAATAACGTATGAAGATCAAACTCTTGCATTCCGTCGTCTTGGATCAATAAGTCCTCAATCCCAATAAGTTTCTATTATAGGTTGGTACCAATGTCAATTCTGATGTTGATGTTGATGGAACATCACTGTTTTCAACATCATCAGGATGCATCAGGATGTGTTCTTCATCTGAAGCTTGCATGCTTCGATCCCCACAAGGTTGTTATATGTTTTTTTTTTGTGCTGCTCCAAATTTGAATGTTGGTGCCTATACAAGGTATTGTTCTTTCCATTATATCTTCGGTTGATATTACTGGAGTTTTTAGCCCAACACCAAACCGTTATTTCAACACCACAACACGTGTTTCGATTACCAAGTGATCATCCTCAAGAGAAAAATCAAACTAATCATACTTACAGAGCTATCCTCATTTATACCATATATACCTGTTCTAGGTACCTGCCTCTTGAGTGTCTTAAATTAATTTTACAATTTGACTTATCTACTTGTCTTGAATTAATTTTACAATTTGCCCTTATGCAATTGTGAGGTCTGAAATAAAATCTGTTTTTCCGTTAACCAGCTGTCGCACCCCTACGAACAACAACCCTCAGAAGTCGAAACTTGTGCGAGCTAAGGATTAACGAAGTCTTACCTTTTAACGTGTGATTCCTAACACGGTTTGCACGATAGCAAGTGAAAATCGATCGTTCAGACTAGGGCTTGAACCACCGACCAACACGGCAGTCTATTCGAGTGAGTGAACAAAGCACCCACCTCGAACCGCCTGGCTAATATAATTCAAATATTATTAGCTATATGAAAAGCTAAATAAAATTGATTTCACAATATTGCCCTATCTACTTGTCTTAAATAAGTCCGTGCAGAATGGAAACCAAAGAAAAGTCAAAGTATTTTCCTAGGATATGGCTAAGGAATTTGTATGATATTTTCGCGGTATTCGATAACAAAAAACGAATATTGAGGACTTTGTTTCCTTTTCAGGTAATAGATTTTCATCAATCAAATATACGTATGAATTAGAAAATAAAGGACAACTTCTATTTCTTTACATTCTGGCAATGGGGAGCCATAATGGACGGTTAGAAAACGATGTATTTAAAAAGGAAACGAGCACATACAGGTATATTGCTGACAGTACACATCTAGTGCATCGTCTTTTGACCTTTTCTCTGACACATGAGGGGTCACAAAAGAAAAACGTCCATTACAAGAAATAGCAATCACTAACGATTTCTC